GCGAGCCCAGGGCTCTCCTTCGGCGGGCGATGAACGGTATGCGACGCAGGCTTCTGCTACCGGGGACTGCCCCAGGGCGGCTGGAAAGTGCATACGCCCATGTGCTGTCGCAGGGGTATGCATTTCCAATTGGCCCTGGCGCAGGCGTCCCCGACCTCGGTGCGAATCCCACAAGCCCTTTATATAGGGCGCGAGTGGTTTTGGGAGTTTTTCTCTTTCAACCGCCTTCTTCCCATTCTGGGAGGTGCGCATCACTGCTTCCTATGAAAATACCCCCCCTCCCCCAGGCGACCGGCAGGCAACCAGGAACAAGGAGGACACCATGCTCACCCCCCACACACACACATCATGCATGCCAAAAAACAATGCAAAACGCACTCTGCCTCCACATTCGGAGCATGCGCGGCCAACCCGATGCGCCCCCCCCCACCATCCTTGTCAAAAGCAATACAAAATACACTTTGGGGCAAAGGCTTGAGTCATGCTCGTGAGGCCCGCGAGCACTTTGTATTGTGTTTGACATGGACGGCGGGGGTGTCAGCGTATTGCCTGCTGCGAGCAGGGCTACCATCCCTGACAACAAACAAGACAACATGCACCTCGCGGCTAAATCTGGATCATGCGCGGCCATCCTGTGCTCGCTGTCAAGTGGCTTTGACAGGGACGGCGGGGGTGGTGGCGTATGTCTTGCTTTGCGCAGGCATGATGGGCATTGGTTTTCGACAAGGATGGTAGGGGCCGACATGTTTCCCAATGTGTGCTGTCACGTGCGCAGGCGCACCTGACACACTCTGCACGTGCCCCGAACGTGGCGCACCTGGCGCGGCTGGAGTTTGCGGCGCACCTGGCGCACGTGGCGCATCTGGCGAACCACGCGTGCCGGGCACGCTCGGGTCCGAGGTGCCTGGCGCGCGTGGCGCGCCTGGCACGCGTGGCGCACCTCGCCCCAGCGTCGCGCACATGGGGTCGGTTTTGGTTCCCAGTAGCTGTCCATCCAAAGACGACCGCTGACCATGCTCAGGCTCGGGTGTTACTGCGGGTGGGAGTGAGCTAGACGGCTTGCTTTGGTGTCTTGACCCCTCTCCCTGCCCCCTCCAGCTGGACCTGGAGTGGTGGGGGGTGGCGAGGGGTTGGAGCAAGATGGCCTCGGAGAGAAAGCCACAATCATTGATTTTACGCAGGTTTGAAATCCATTTTGGCCTCCTGGGGTGGCACTGATGGAGTACCCCCCCTTCTTTGATCGAACTCCTTCCAGATTGCCCGAGAGGACACCCGAGGCTGCCGAGTGCCCCAAGGGGATTCCAAGAGGCGCCCAGGAGGCCCCAAGAGGCCCCTAAGATGCCCCCCAAGATGCCCTCAAGAGGCTCGCAAAAGAACCAGAAAAGGGCCCAAAAGGGCCCCCCGAGGCACCAAAGATGCGTCAAGAAGCTCCCGGGACTGCCACAATGTCCTCAAGACGCCCCAACAGGCCTACAAGAAGCTCTCGAGTGACATCTGAAGAGACTCCGAGAAGTATCAAAGATGCATCTGGCCTTCCTGTTCGCCCTCCTCCTCCTCCTCCTCCTTCTCCTCCTCCTCCTCCTCCTCCTTCTCTTCCTCATCCGCCTAGTCCTCCTCCTCCCTCCTTCCTTCTCCCTCCTCCTTCCTCCCCCCTTCCCCTCCTCCTCATCTCCTCCTCCTCCTGCTCTGGTTTCCCCTGAATCCTCCCCATCTTGGGGCATGACGGCTGCCCAGCCTTTATTCCACTGCGTGCTCCTGCACATGCCTGAGCAGGACAACTCGCAAGGGGCATCGCTTCTGGATGGGCTGGTGGGGTTACGCGAAGCCTCGAGGGTCATACTTTACAATTGTTCGCCTGCAGGTCACTGGAGCATTGGAGCCGTGCGTCCGCTCGGCCGATCCGCTCTGTTTGCTTGCCCGCGTCTTCTGCGGTTCAAGCCGTGGGCTGCCTGGCACCCTGAGACTCCTGGGCACGGGGTCTTCCTTGACAGACCGTAAGAGTACCCCGAGCCCTTCGGGAGGGGGAAGCTGAGTCAGGAGGGCCAGACTAGCTGGGGATATCGGGGTCTGCTCTGCAGATGCATCAGACCAAACCGCCCAGAATTATGATCCCTGCTGCGAAGACGGAGACCAAAGTGAGGCCACGTCTTCATCGTAATATCAGGGTTGGGGGTCCTTCTGTTCTCGACGATGGGTTAGCCGACCGATCATTCATTGTCCCTGGGTGAATGGCTGAAGTGTGGTTCAGCTGCGCGGATTCTTGCTGTTGCGTGGCGTTGAACCCTGGCAAGGATTATTTGTGCGTTGGTTCCCCCCCTTCTGGCGCGCCTTCTGTTTGTATTCAAAGTCAGGTGCTCCTCCCGGGGCTCGCACCCTGCCTTGGAAAAGGATGCCTGGAGCCTCGGGTTGGGTTTTTTGGGGGGTTCTCGCTGCTTCCTCGGGGCCAGCTGTCCATCCCGCACACTCCTGGGACACGGCCCCCGAGCCCACGGGGGGGGGGGGGGGGCCGAGGCCCGACCGGCAGACCGCGAGCACTCTCCCTGCACTCCGCGCCTCCACAGCGCTTCCTTCCGCAAACGTCCGGCGTCGCGCTGTTTCCCCGAACCCACAACCACACACAAAACCCACACACGCACACACACGTACACACAAAGCACACACACACACAAAACAGACACACACACACACAACACACACACACAACACACACACACCACACACCACACACCACACACCACACACCACACACCACACACCACACACAACACACAACACACAACACACACGCACACGAAATGCACATAATCACAAACACAAAACATAATTACGCACGCACGCACGCACGCACGCACACACAAACACGCACTACACACCACACAAACACACACACACACACCCACACACACACACACGCACACTACACACACCACACCACCCGCAGAGGTCTCACGAGCGGCGAACATAGAGTGGAGGCCAGTCCACAAGAAACCTTAGAAACCCAACCCTGAGACCCCAGGACGTCCATCATTGTTTGGTGTGGGAACGCCACGCCTTCCATCGCAACGCCGTCGAAACCCCATACAAACCAGGGCACCCTGGAGGCCAGCAGGGTGCTTCTTGGCATGGGTCTCCGCTGCATCTGGGCCTGGGCTCCGCGGCCCGATTCCCGCGGAGGGGCGGTCGCACGAAGTGCGTTCCGCGCGGGGCACCCGCGGAACGGCGCCCCGCGAGGCCGCGGGGTCGCGGCCCAGGGGTCCGGCAGGCGAGGCCGCGGATGCGGGCACGTGTCCCGCCCACGAAGGTCCACACCCTCCTCCTCCTCCTCCTCCTCCTCCTCCTCCTCCTCCTCCTCCTCCCCTCCTCCTCCTCCCCTCCTCCTCCTCCTCCTCTCCTCCCCCTCCCCTCCTCCTCCCCCTCCCCCTCCCCCTCCCCCTCCTCCTCCCCCTCCTCCTCCCCTCCCTCCTCCTCCTCTCCTCCTCCTCCTCCTCCTCCTCCTGCTCCTCCTCCTCCTGCTCCTCCTCCTGCTCTGCCCTGGCACGGACTTTCCGCCCACGGGTCGAGCCGAGGGCAGCCCCCGGGCCCAGCAAGGGCCTCCCCGCAGGCCAAACCTTGGAGCAAGCACGCGCCGTCGCAATATTTTCCCTTATCAGGCCCAGTGCGTTTTCCGACGCGAGCCGCGACCCCAGAGCTCCTCCTCCTCCTCCTCACCCTTTTCCTCCCCCCCCTCCTCCTCCTCCTCCTCTTCCTCCTCCTCTTCTTCTTCTTCTTCCTCCTCCTCCTCCTCTTCCTCTTCTTCTTCGTCATCTTCCTGGGGGGCTAGTTTTGATCCCTCGATCTCTTATGGTCCCCGGGCCCGAGAACGGCCCCTGGAGGCTGACACGCCAGGGACCAAGCGTAGCGATCGAAATGCACATCAGAACGAGGTGATAAGCACCAGAGGACGCCCCTGACCCTTTGGGAGGGGACCAAAGTCAGGAGGGCCAGGCAAATTAGGGATAGGAGGTCCTTTCTGCAGACGTATCAGACCAGACCTCCCCAAACGAGTATCCTTCCTGCGAAGACGGGGACCAACGTGAGGCCACGCTTTCATCGTGTTATTCGGGTTGGAGGTTCCCTTGCCCTCAACGATGGGATGGCCGAGCGATCATTCATTGCCCCTGGGTGAATGGCTGAATGTCGGTGCAGCTGCGCGGATTATTATTGCTGCGTGGCGTTGAATTCTGACAATTATTATTGTTGATCCCCCTCTTCTGGCGCATCTTCTGTTCTATTCCAACTCAGGTGCTCATCCCGGGGTTCGCACCCTGCTTCTTCAAAGGATGTCTGGAACCTTGGTGTGTTTTGCTTGACCCAGACTCAACACAACATCGAGGGCGGGGCGTCTGAATGAATTGCGAGGACCTCCCACGCGACAGCGCGATTTCTGCAAAATTGTAAGGAAGTCCCACGCGAAAGCGCGATGTGGGGATACATTGTGAGGATACATTGTAAACCGGGGGCCAACAACCCAATTTTGAAACCCCATACTTCCCGGCTAAAAAAAAACGGTGCGATCCCCGGAAGAGGGATTTCAATTGAAAAATACGATGTGCCCAGCAGGGGATATCAACAATGATTATTCTTTAAACATCACAACTCAACAACTCTCCCGCTCGATGCGTTTTCTTATTCTACTTGGGGCCGGGGCACCTGCTCGCCGCCGAGAGGCTGGCTGTCCAACAAAACCTGCAATCCCGCTCGACACTTCTTCGTTTTGTACTCAAGACTGGGGCTCCCGCGTCGGCACCGCAGACGGCCCCCCCTGCCAACAACGACGCTCCCGCTCGATACTTCTTCCAACTTACTTCTTCCAATTGTAGTCGAGACCCCCAGAGGCCCTGGGGCATCCATGGTGCGGATCCCCAATGATGCAGCATGCACTGTCCGACGTCTTCACCGCAGCCTCGCTGGCGCGCTCCGCGTGCCAGGGGCGGCCCGAAGGCCCGCGGCGGCGACCCGTCATCGTCCTTGTCGTTGTCGTCGTCGTCGTCGTCGTCGTCGACGTCGTCGTCGTCGTCGTCCCCTTCCTCCTCCTCCTCCTCCTCCTCCTCCTCCTCCTTTTCCTTCTCCTCCTCCTTTTCCTCCTCCTCCTTTTCCTTTTCCTCCTCCTCCTCCTCCTTTCCCTCCTCTTCCACATCCTCCTCCTCCTCTCCTCCTCCTCCTCTTCTTCCTCCTCCTCCTCCTCCTCCTCCTCCTCCTCTTCCTCCTCCTCCTCCTCCCCCTCCTTTTCCTCCTCCCCCTCCTCCTCCCCCCTTGTCTTCCGTCCTCCATCATCCTCGAACTGTTTTTTCTTGTTCCTTCTTCCTTCCCCGAAGCTCAGCAACCCCTCCGATCCAAGCGTTTTCCAAAAATGCCTTGAGGCCTCCGTCGCGATGGCCCGAATTTCCCATGTTTAGGTTTAGAGCGGCCGGAGCTCCCCTGGGAGGCTCTGGGGGTTCCAACGGCCCCACGGGCTGTCCAAGGGGCTCCGGGGCCTCCCAAAAGATGCGGGGACCCAAAGGTGTTGGGCCACTCGGGCGTGGCGATACCTGGAAGCAAAACGCGCGCAAGGCAATTGCGAAACCGATGTGCCATCCGGGCTGGACGTGCTAAAGTGCCTCGGATGAGGCGTTGGCAAGACCTCCCGGGGGGGAGACCTGGGCAAGGGAATGTCGGACCCCCCCCCGGCGCAAGACAAGATCCCCCATGCAGGGAAAGCTACCATGATGGATGCATGGCGTATATAAATCCATCGAACATTCGAGTCGTGTGATTATTGTTGTTGTCGTCGTCGACACTGAACCTTCACTGCTACATGAATATTGTGGCTGGACACCCTGAGTGTTCTTTCGCGCTCTCGCCTCGGCGCCGACTGCATTTGTTACCTAACAGCTCTTGCTGATAGGTTTCTAGTGGTCTCAAAAGAAAAGAACATCATGACTCCTCAGAGGGGGTCTGGGCGGGACCCGGACAGGCTGCCGCCGCGGCTGCCGCCGCATTCGTTTTTCACAAACAGTCATACACTTCGTGCTCTTCGAGTTCCCAGAACTTCATTCCCGGGCCACATTCTGAATGCCCGGAACCAACTGTAAGCCACTTCGTGCTCTTCGACTTCCCAGAACTCCATTCCCGGGTCACATTTTGGATGCCCGGAGCCACCTGTAGGCCACTTCGTGCTCTTCGACTTCCCAGAACTCCATTCCCGGGCCACATTTTGGATGCCCGGAGCCAACTGTAGGCCACTTCGTGCTCTTCAAGTTCCCAGAACTCCATTCCGGGCCACATTTTGAATGCCCGGAGCCAACTGTAGGCCACTTCGTGTTCTTCTAGTTCCCAGAACTCCATTCCTGGGCCACATTTTGAATGCTGAGGCAGGCTGATGCTGCGGCCGAGGCAGGCTGAGGCTGAGGCAGGCTGAGGCTGAGGCCGAGGCTGAAGGCAGACTGAGGCTGAGGCTGAAGCAGACTGAGGCTGAGGCTGAGGCAGGCTGAGGCTGAGGCTGAGGCAGGCTGATGCTGAGGCAGGCTGAGGCTGAGGCTGAGGCTGATGCAGGCTGAGGTTGAGGCAGGGTGATGCTGAGGCCGAGGCTGAAGGCAGACTGAGGCTGAGGCTGAAGCAGGCTGAGGCCGAGGCCGAGGCAGGCTGAGGCTGAGGCAGGCTGAGGCTGAGGCTGAGGCAAGCTGAGGTTGAGGCTGTGACTGCGACTGCCGTTGCCGCTGCGACTGTCATCGCGAATGCGACTACGACTGCGAGAACAGTAGAATTCGACAACTGGATTTTGATCTGAATCTTGAGGGGAATGCTTTCAGATATGCTTCTACACATCGCTGTTAGGTTGCTTTGCCGGGATAATTCTTCAAAATTAAGCTCACGCTCGAGCGCTTCCGCGCTCCGCCGAGACCCCCCCCCCCCACAACAACGACAACAACGATCCGGCTCGATACTTTCTCCTTTCTCACTCGGGGCCGGTGCTGTTGCTCGACCCCCAAAGCCGCCTTTTCCAACAACATTGGCGTTCCCATTCGATACTTCGCTGCCTTGTACCTCAGGACAGGCGCTCCCGCTTCAGGGCCCGCCACAAACAGCGACGCTCCAGCTCGAGACTTCCTCCGTTTTTGCACGGGGCTCCCAGGAGGCCCTGAGGCTTCCCTAGTCCCTGTTGGACCTGAACTATCTAGCAATTGTTATCACTACTGTTGGACACCCTGCATGCGTTTCCGCGCTGTCGCGCCTGCTCCTCGCGACCTCGCTCTCACTCGTGTCCTGGGGCGTGGCGTCGTCGCCGCCGCCGCCGCCGCCGCCGCCGCCGCCGTCGTCGTCGTCGTCGTCGTCGTCGTCGTCGTCGTCGTCGTCGTCGTCGCCGTCGTCGTCGTCGTCGTCGTCGTCGTCGTCGTCGTCGTCGTCGTCGTCGTCGTCGTCCTGCTCTGGAGGCCGTCGGGGGCCTCCTGGAACTCCTGGAGACACCCAAGGCCAGGGACAGGAGGAAACTACATGGGGGGAGGAGGAGGAGGACGAGGAGGGGAAGGAGCAGGAAGAGGAGGACGAAGAGAAGGAGGAGGAGGAGGAGGAGGAGGACGACGACGACGACACGACGACGACGACGACGCTGACGACGACGACGACGACGACGGCGACGACGACGACGACGACAACGACGACGACAGTGGCGGCGGCGGCGGAAGCGGCAGCGGCAGCGGCGACAACGACGACGACGATGACGAGCCCTGGCGCCATCAGAAAGCGGCCGACGCAAAAGTGGTCCCCAGGAAATGGTCGAAAGCTTAGGGGCCTAAACTCTGAAGCTTATCAGAGGCTCTGGTGGCTCCCCGCGTGGCTCCCCAAGAGGTTGCGAGGCCTGTCCCTGCGGCGTGAGGCCACTCAGGCGTCGTGACACTTAGAAGCAAAGCGTGGGCAAGGCGATTGCGAGGGCGATGTGCCTTCCGGGCTGGAGATGCTGAGGTGCCTCGGATGAGGCGTTGTCAAGACCTCCTCGACTGGGAGATCAGGGAGAGGAAATGTCGGCCCCCCGTGTGCAAGAGATAATCCCCCATAGGGGGGGAGCTACCATGATGGATGCATGATGCAAACAGAAACATAGAGCATTCGGGTAAAACCATTGTTTTGCTGTTGGCTGTTGTTGTCGTCGTCCCCCTCGCGACCCACCCGCGACTCACCCGCGACCTACCCCACGACCCACCCGCCCGCCCCCACCGCTCTTATCCGCAATGGTGGGGTGCTGCATATTGCCGTAGACGGTCTGGGGGGAAATGTGGGCCCACGGTGCCCTTGGGACGCTGCCGGGTCCTCGTCGTCGGAGCTGTCCGGCCGCGGCGGGAGCTCCGAGCCGCGGGGCCCAGGTGCGGTCCTGGCCGCGCCCGGGCCCGCCCTGGGCGCGGCCGCGCTGGAGCTGGACGAGGAAGCGCTGCCGAACCTGGGGCTGATCTGTTGTCTGTGTTCTGTTTGTCTGTGAGGGTGCGCCTGTCTCGTGTGCGCGCGGCCAGATAACCACACGTGCGACGGCCATGGACATCTTAGTCATGCCTCGCGTTGGCATACGTACGCATGGACACAACAACAGCAACAGCAACCGCACCAGCAACAGCAACAGCAACAGCAACAACAACCAAAACCACAGCCACAATCACAGCAACAACACCAACCAGTTTACGTTTGTTCGTTCTTATCTGCTCGAGTGTCCGTCAACGCGTATTTCCCAAACCCTCGATACCCGCCCTCTTCGTCTTCGATCGTACCCCTTTTTGGGGGGTATACCTTTCTTCCCTGCAGGCCGGGCCTCGGCACACGGCGGGGCGGCCGCGGACCGTCGGCCTGGCCAGCGGCAGCGCTGATCGGCGGCAACCCGACCCCAAGAGGGACGGACAGAGGACCGACCACGACGACGACGTCGACGTCGACGACGACGGCGGCGACGACGACGACGACGAGCGACGACGACGACGAGCGAAAGCGAGAGCGAGAGAGAGAACGACAGCAGGGCCACGAAGGGCACGAAGTAGACCACGACGGGCGACAGCGGGGACACTAAGGAAATGCGCATGGGGCCACGAAGAGCGCGAACGAGCGGGGGCCACGAAGGGCAGATAATGCGGGGCCTCAGAAGGCAACGACGGGGCCACTGAGGGTAGCAACTGGGCCACGTAGGACAGCGAGGAGGCCACAAAGCGCGACAGCGGGGCCACGAAGGGCAGGCACATGGGGCCACGACGGGTGCGAACGAGCGGGGGCCACGAAAGGCATACGTAGATTGGGCCGCGGAGGGCAAGGACGGGACCACCGAGGGCAGCAACGCGGCCACGAAGGGCAGAGAGGGGGCCACGAAGGGCGACAGCGGGGCCACGAAGGGCATGCATATGGGGCCACGACGGGCGCCAACGAGCGGGGGCGACGAAGGGCATACATATATGGGGCCATGAAGGGCAGCGAGGGGGCCACGAAGGGCAGCGAGGGGGCAACGAAGGGCAGCGAGGGGGCCACGAAGGGCGACAGCGGGGCCACGAAGGGCATGCACATGGGGCCACGACGGGCTGCAACGGGGCCATGAAGGGCAGCGAGGGGGGCCCAAAAGGGCAGCGATGGGGGCCACGAAGGGCTGCGAGGAAGCCACGAAGGGCTGCAACGGGGCCACGAAGGGCAGCGAGATCCCGATTCCGAAATAATCTGTGAGAGAGTCCTAGTTAAGCGTGAGCGCGACTCCTGGGGGCCTGAGTCTCGGAAGCGCGGCGCTCGGGTAAAATTGCGGTGAATTCCAACGCAAGGGCGCTATTCTTGAGTAAAGTGTAAGGAAGTCTCCAGCGAGAGCGCGATCCAGAGCGCAGAGAGAGCGCTTCCTGCATGCATAGTAAGGAAGTCCCAAGCGAGACCGCGATTTCTGAATAACATGCGAGGAAGTCTCAAGCGGGAGCGGGGGTCTTGGCTAAATTGTGGAAGTCTCAGGCGGGAGCCCATGTTGTTGTAACCCGGGGGCCGACAATACAGTTTGAGGAGGAAGATCTTTCCTCTTTTTGCATATCTATATATATATAGATATATATATAGAGAAAGCAATATTAAAAAAGGGTGCGAGCGCCAGGAGGGGCACTTCAATTGAACATATACAATGTGTACCAGAGGGGGGATCAACAAACATCAACAACAACTTCAATTTAAACTTCAACTTCAACTTCAACAACAACAACAACAACAACAACAACAACAACAACAACAACAACAACAACAAAAACAACAACAACAACAGCAACAACAACAACAACAACAACACTACTAACAGCAACAACAACAACAGCAACAGCAGCAGCAACAAGCACAACTACTACACGCACTGGAGGAGTGGAGAGCAATCACGAAGCTCCTAAGGACCCGCCGCGACACTGTACAGGAAGCGACCGGGGCGGACAAATCCTGCCACCCCTCAGCAGACAAGGGCCTGCTCAAGGAGCCGTCCGTGACAATCATTGCACAGGCGAGCGGCCGAGGAGGAGGAGGACGGAGGAGAAGCGGAGGAGGAAATCAAAGCACCAGGAGCAGCGCACAGGCCAACCTGCCATCGGCGAGCCATGGCGCGCAACCAGGCTATAAGGGAAATAGCTGGGCGTAAAGCCGCTGGGCGGAAAAGTAACGAATTTTCCCCCACCCGCTGCGTCGTCCGCAGGCCAGAAGAATGGTTGCGCGAAGCTGGGTTGCGAGCTAAGCGGTCGCGGCCAGCCGCAGGCCCGACGAATCAGGAAGAAGAGGAGGATGAGGATGAAGCAAGGAGGAGGAGGAGGAGGAGGAGAAGGAGAAAGAGACGAAGTAGCCCGCAAACGTATCATTCCCTGGCATGCCACACTGCGGCGGGCTGCTTGTCGCAACAGCGCTGGCCGGCTGCGGACAGCAACAATGCATGGGCGGCGTGGTTGCCAAGATCTACCTCGAGAGAAAGCCCGCCGCCGCTTGCAGACCGCACGTCCTGCGAGCGTGGCCGAAGCTCGCGGCGGGAATTCGGGCGGCTGCGCGCTACCGCAAGGGAAGGGAAGGAGAAGGAGGAGAGAGAGAGAGAGGGATAGAAAGGGAGAGAGAGAGAGAGAGAGAGAGAAAAAAGAGAGAGAGAGAGAGAGAGAGAGCGAGGAACAAGGGGAGAGGTCCCCCCGCAGATCCTCGGCGAGGATGGCTAGGCCCTCGCAAGCGGCCTGGCCTGACGATGGTCGGAGCGCGCGCCTCGCCCACGTCCGCGCCCCCGCCCTGCACAAGGGGCCTCGGCGCCGCCTCGGCGCCGGGCCATCGTCGACAGGATCATGCTGGCATGGCGCATGGCGTCGAACCAGTGCCGCGCCAGTGTTCGCCCGCGCCGCGCGCGGGAGATCGCGGTGGTCGCGAATGTCGTGCTTCCGCACAGCTCCCCTCGCGAGCGTCTCCAAGACTCGGGTAGTCGCCGGGTGCTCCCGCCCGCAGGCGGGGTACACTGCGGGGATGCACTGGATCCCCGAGTCCTTGAAGGCTTGCAGGTGCGCTCCGTAACAGTCCAACTTCCTGTGCCTCATCGCTTCGCAGCAGTCCTCGCTCGCATACTGGGCGTGCGGGGGCGTCACGCCGATGTCAATGGCAGATCTCAAGCCAGTCTGCGCCGACAACGTGTAGATGTCGGCTGGCCGGAGCGTCGGCGCGTCAGGGCAGAGCCCCTCCACCTCGGTCTCGGCCGATGCGTCGGCTGTTTGCGCCAGCACGATGACTGCATCTCGCACCTCGTTGTGTCCCCGCGTGGCCTCGGCCAGGGTGCAGCACCCGCCGTCCCTGTCAAAAACCACTTGACAGTGATCGCGGGATGGCCGCGCACGATCCAGATATAGCCGCGAGGTGCATGTTGTATTGTTCCCCACCCAACAAGTTGGGGTTGTTCGATTTCAAGAACAGGCCCCCGGCCAATCCCACAATGCCACCGCGGTCAGACCCCAAGTTGTCCCGAAAATCCCGAATATCCCAGGTGTCCCGCCTCGCGCCTGGCCAACCCCACACTGCATACCGCGGCCGCCAGATCCCAAACTGTCCCGAATGTCCCGAGAATCCCGGGTGTCCCGCCTCGCGCCCGGCCAACCCCACCCTGCATACCGCGGCCGCCAGATCCCAAGCTGTCCCGATGATCCCGCCTCGCGCCTTTGGCGGACACGAGTGACAGAACACATCATATCATGACACAGCATCACATGACATATCAGAGCACGACAGCAAAGCACAGCGACGATGAACACGACATAACACCACATCACACAACAGAACATGAGACAACAGAAGTCGAGCATGAACGAACATGACATAACATAACATAACACATAACAGAACATGACATAACATAAAACGGCATGAAACAACATATCATAACATAGACGATGATACCATAACACATCTTGGCATAACATACCATAGCATGGCACAGCATCGCATAATCATAGCGACACATACTAGCATAACGGACCATAGCATTGTATACCACGCCGTGCCGTCAACAGACAGAACATCACATAACATGACAGAGCAGAAGACACAACACACCGTAGCATAACATAACCGCCCAGAGCACAGCAAACCATGATAGAACATATCGTATCATGCTACATCATCACATAACATATCATTACCTGGCAGCAGAGAATGGCGATACATACCAACAAAGCACATCACAGTATTCTATATAAGGCATAACCTTCAACAAACCGATCATCACATCACATACCGATCAGGGCATGGCATGACATAGGACGGCATCAGACAACATAGAAAAACAGGCGGCCATCAAGGAGCACACCATTCCAAACCATATCAGAACACATCCTGATACCATCACATACATAATAATAGCACGACAGTAACACACAGCGAAAAAGACTATCAAAGCAAATCAGGACATACTATACTGAGCGGAGCTGTCAACAACATCACGGGACATATCATAGGATAACAACAGTTGGCCTACCATGTGTTGTCACACGATACTGCCACAGACCAGATTATACCATACACCTCGAATCATGGAGTGACAGATGCGAGCGTAAGAAAACATATTCCATAATACAATTAACGTATAACCGACGAAAAGGCATAACAAACGACGCATCCAACGCCACATGCGTCACGACGTCACGCCGGCCCGTGGAGAACACAGCAAGACACACTATAGCAAAACATGAAGAACGTGAGTACGTGGAACACGGTTGAAACGGTTTTGAATCCAGAAACGGCAGTTGTCGACCAATGAGGCGACCGCGCGCCGTCGAGAACAAACGCTTAAGGTTTCGGTGGGGATCGCTCGAAAGAATCTATTTGTCATCAAGGATGGTAGCCTTACGCGCAAGAGGGAATACGCTGACACCCCCGCCGTCCGTATCGAAAAAATACGAAGTGTTTGCGGGCCTCACGAGCATGACTCAAGACTTTGCCCCAAACTGTACTTCGCAGTGTCTTTTGACATGGTTTCTGGGTGGGGGGCCGCAGCGGCTTGGCCGCGCATGCTCCAAATTTTGAAGCAGAGTGCGGTTGGCATTGTTTTTCGACAGGGGGCTCCTGCAGCTCCTGGCGCAATTCCCGGGCGACCTCGACCTCGTGTCAAGCTGCAAACATCACCTGTTGGACGTGGCCGGAGAAGTCGCTGTCGTCCTCTCCGGGGCACCGCCGACGAGGCCGCTGGTGAACCACCCTCGGTGAAGCTGACGGCGTCCTCGGGGACGTCGATGACGCGGTCATCGACCGTCCCGTCCTTTCCCTGCCCAGCGTTTGCTGCCAGCAGCTGTTCGTCACCAAGGACAAACTGGATGATGCGAGCGTCCTTCCACTGCTCGCCGATGTGGCTGCGGGCGTCGAACTTGACGCCGTCCACGTGCACGTGGTGGACGTCGCATGGGTTGCGATGGCTCCACCAGATGACCAGACTGCTGGTGCAGCCCGGCCAGTCTGCCACATATGTCTGGCCTCGTACGAGACGCACAGCGCGAACGCCTGGCAGCTGGAAGCATCTGCGGCGCAAATCACGCAAAACATCGAAGACATCAGGGCGTCGCCGAGCCTGCTCGGTCAGCTGCTTGCCCTGCTCGTCCTTCCGGTGGCCGAAGGTCCTGGCTCCTGAGCCTGGCGCGACGTGCTCTATGAAGTACCCCACGTGATCCCAGGCCAGGCCTGCTCGCGCCACGACGGTGCCCATATCGTCGAAGACTGCGCCGGTGAAGGTCCGTGCGTCCCGACATGTGCAGATCCACAAAAGGATGACAATGCCGGGGCCTACCCTGCCTCGACCTTGCGCTGCAGGGCGATATCACAGATACGCCACTGCATCCGGCTGGGCTGCACCTCGCCAGCAGCAGCGGGACAGTCTCCGGCGACATAGCGCCCTCACCCTCCTCATCTGCTTCAAGCGGTGGCAGCGTGGAGGGTTACCTGCCAAAGACGACGTTGCATGGCATAGCGCCGCCCACGTTGGTGAGGCTATTGCCAGCGACGACGGCATGGGCCAGCATGGGGCCGAAATATAACGCTTTCGCGCTCCAGCTGCTCCTCGACGGCGTGTAATGCGCATCGTTGGATTGCACCGCGTCGCTCGGTGAAAACGAGCGTGGTAGCGTGGAGCACGGACGTCCACCTTGGAGCCCATCCTCTTCATCTCCACTACGAAATACTTCAAGGTCATCCCGCCTTCGCCGTCCATGATGAAAAGGGGTCCGTTGATCCAACTAGCTGGGCCCAGAATCTGCCAACAGCTGCCAACAACCTTGGGTCGCATCTGTCCGCGGTCTCCTGGCCGTTGTGCCACCGCGAGGCGGAGCAGATCAAGCGCAGTATCATGCGATCCTTGTAGTACAAGGATGTCGAATTCAATGTGCTGGTTCGATCGCGTCGCAAGGCGTAGTGTGAAAATGGTCTGGCGTGCTGGCGGAAGCCGCTTACGTCATTGCCAGCAGTTGTTGGCTACTGTGGGGACGAGGTCGAGGATGGGCTGTGGCATGTTGGCTGCACGCACGCGAGCCATCTCCTCCTTAGTGGCGTGCCACCACCGGATATGTAGCTTGCGTAGATATCGCATGCATGTCTCGTGCGAGTCGCCGCGTAATGCTCGTAGTGACGTTGTGATGCCACATCGAATCCAGTCTGAAGGCGTTGGGTTGCCCACAGCAGCGTCGGCAGCTCATGGTGCTGCCTGTCTCGGTGCTATGATGGCTGCACGACTGAAACACAGTTGTCGGATCCACGACCCTGAGCCCTAGCGGCGGGGGATGAACCGGCTCCTGGTGTACTGGACGGTGCCAGGTGGTAGCGCAGCCTCGTCTGCTGCTCCGAGGTCGGCTCATCCAAGTAGTTGAGCCTGTTGATCGCCAGGTGTGCGCGGTCATCCAACTCGCGCTGGTGTTCGTGGATGCTGGCCGGTACGTGGACGCGGCCGTGCGCGAGGATGCGCGAACCTGCACTTGCTGAACTCGTGGGCGCTTGCTGGATGGTCGCGGTCGTTCTTCTCTCGGCAGTCTGGGCATTCCCAATGTGTGGGGGCGCTGTGGGGTAACGGCAAGTGGCCAGATCTCGGGAGCGCATAGGCGAATACGAGCGCACGATGCGTCGGGACGCCTTGCACGTGTAGCGCGCGCCCAGCGGCTATGGCACTCCTGATTTCTCCCTATGTGCGGTACTTGCTACAATAACCAGACGAATAAAACATGTGTATGACGGGAATAGCACGGGCACGGTGGCCGGCCAACTACCGTACCCCGACGCCAAAACGGCAGTAGACAAGGGAGGCGAATGAGAGAGGCAAAGGCAGGGACAAAGCGATGAGCTACCGTTCGAGTGGGGGGAGGAGGAGGAGAGAGGAGGAGGACGAGGACGAGGAGAAGGAAGAGGAGGAAGAGAAGGAGGAGCAGGAAGAGGGAGAGGAGGAATAATAATGTGTGGGGGGGGGAGGGGAAGGAGGGAGAAGGGAGGGACAAGGGAGGAAGAATGAATGATGATGATATGATGATGATGATGATGATGATGATGATGATGATGATGATGAGATGATGATGAATGATGATGAATGAGATGGAGGAGGAGGAGAGGAGGAGGAGGAGAGGAGGAGGAGGGGAGGAGGAGGGAGAGGAGAGGGAGGGAGGAGGAGGAGGAGGAGGAGGAGGAGGAGGAGGAGGAGGAGGAGGAGGAGGAGAGAGGAGGGAGGAGAAGGATGAAGAGGAGGAGAAGGAGGAGGAGGAGGAGGAGGAAGAGGAGCAGAAGGAGTAAGGAGGAGGAGGAGAAGAGGAGGAGGGAGGAGAGAGGGAGAGAGGGGGCGAGGAGGGAGGGAGGAGGGAGGGAGGAGAGAAGGAGGAGGGAAGGCGGAGGGAGGAGGAGCAGGAGGAGGAGGAGCAGGAGGAGGAGGGAAAGCAGCAGGGGGAAGGAAGGGAGGGAGGGAGGAGGAGGAGGAGGAGAAGGAAGGGAGGAGGAGGAAGAGCAGGAGAAGGAAGGGAGGAGGAGGAGGAGGAGGGGGAGAAGGGAGGGAGAAGGGAGGAGGAGCAGGAGGAGGAGGCGGAGGAGGAGGAGGAGCAGGAGGAGCAGGAGGAGGAGGAGGCGGCCATTGGGCGCGGGGCCCCGCTCCGAGGAGCCCGGCGGCCAGGTGGCCCTGCAGCCCCAGCAGCACGACGCCGTCGGCGTCGCTGTCGCTCTCGAGGCCGGCGTCGAGGGCGATCACCTCGAGGCGGGCCGGGAGCCGTCTCACACTCCCAGGGAGGGAGGGAGACACCATATGGGTGATTTCGCAACGTTTTCCTCTCTTGGAGGCGTTTTTTTGACGTCCGCCGCCGTCCGCCAGCCACGTATTGCTTCCGCCGACCTTCCGCCGCCTGCCGCGGCGAAGGGACGACGACTCCTTCGACCCTTGAAGGCAAGGCCCTTTTTGGAACGCCCCACATGGGCATAGAGAGGAAAGGGGGAGAGAGGAAGAGGGAGATGGAGAGGGATAGGGAGAGGGAGGGAGGGAGAGGGGAGAGAGGGGGTGGGCAGCACGACCTGTTCAAGTTTTGGACACTCTTGCACTTGCACGCCAATGTCAAGCATCCCTTCAAACTTCGCTTGTTGGTGGCCGCAGCCCGTGAGTGGGCGACGCGCATTCTCTCTGACCAGGCGCCGGAGCCTGAAGCGTAGGGACCCTCACTAACAAGACGCCGCACGCTCACGTGAATTACGGATCCGTGGATGTGGCGCGTGGGCGGCAGATCCACGGATCGGGGAAGATACGTGTGGCCACTGCTGCCTGATCTGGCGATGGGGCGCGCCTACTCTGCGCAGAAACGGGGCCCGTCGCCAATCCACGCGCCTTGATCTGTGTTTGCGATGCCTTGACCGTCGGGGCAGCCGTGGCCCGCAGAACCCCCTCGAACTGTGACAATCACGACGGGAGGTGCTCGGAAAGTCTCGGCCCCCGAGAGCCCACGCGGGGCCCCGTGACCGCCAAGTAGCTACGCAGCCGCCCGCAATTGCGGAG